TTGGTGACCCACATGTGCAAGAACACCGGGCAGCCTTTTTAGTGCTGGTCTGTCTTCAACTTGTTTTCAGTCCTTATTTTAAAATATTTAGAGTAAAAAAAAAATAAATAAAATATATGTATTATATACAGTTGCATTGTATATATAATATATATAATTGCATTGTGAATTTATGTAATTTATTGTAAAATCATTTTTTTAAGGATTTTATTTATTTATTTGACAGAGAGAGACACAGCAAGAGAAGGAACACAAGCAGGCTTCCCCCTGAGCAGGAAGCCCCATGCAGGGCTCCATCCCAGGATCTTGGGACCATGACCCCAGCGGAAGGCAGATGCTTAACGACTGAGCCACCCAGGCGCCCCTGTAAAATCATTTTTGCAAGAAGGCCTAGAATAATCTAATAAACCCAGTCCCACTTTATTTTCCCAGCTGGACTGGGTAGAGGCTGTATGTTAGTTGAATAACTAACCAGTATGGTACTAGTTAATGTACACATACCCGCAGGCCCTTCTTCAATCTGCCTCCCAGCTCTCCAAGAAAGGGAGGCCAGACTTTGGCTTAAATCAGCCAAATGGGCCTAATCCCTGGTTTGCAACCTTATCAACCTCCTCTTCCTAACGCCTCCTTTCTCCCTCCATCACACCTTCCCCCACCAGTGTGGGGGCGGGGGGGGGCACCCAAGCTCAGGCCTCCCTCCTTACCCGCCCCAGCTCAGCCTCCCTCCATCCTCCCCCTCCCAGCCCCAGCTCGGCCTCCCTCCATCCTCCCCCTCCCAGCCCCAGCTCGGCCTCCCTCCATCCTCCCCCTCCCAGCCCCAGCTCGGCCTCCCTCCATCCTCCCCCTCCCAGCCCCAGCTCGGCCTCCCTCCATCCTCCCCCTCCCAGCCCCAGCTCGGCCTCCCTCCATCCTCCCCCTCCCAGCCCCAGCTCGGCCTCCCTCCATCCTCCCCCTCCCAGCCCCAGCTCGGCCTCCCTCCATCCTCCCCCTCCCAGCCCCAGCTCGGCCTCCCTCCATCCTCCCCCTCCCAGCCCCAGCTCGGCCTCCCTCCATCCTCCCCCTCCCAGCCCCAGCTCGGCTTCCCTCCATCCTCCCCCTCCCAGCCCCAGCTCAGCCTCCCTCCATCCTCACCCCTCCCTCCACCCCCCCCCCCCGCCCCCGGCCTTCCCCAGCCCGCGCGGCCTCACCCCTGTGGCGCGGCCTCTTCCGGCCCGCGGGAGGGCGGGCGTGGGGCGGGGCCGGGTGGGAGGGGAGAGCCGGTGGTGCGAGCGTCCGGGGATCGCGCCCCGCCGCTGGCCGGCCGGTCATGCTCATCACGCTGTGCTACCTCTACCTGTGGGCGCGCTGGGGGCGCCGACCGGCCGCGCTCGTGCGCGCCACGGTGCAGCGGCTGCGCGCCTCGCGCTGCTCCTTCACCTTCTGCGGCGCGGCCGCGCGGCCCCAGGGTGCCCGCGTGTGCCTGAGCCGCGGCGGCCGCGTCTTCTGCGTCGGCGAGAGCCAGGTGGGCGGGCGCGGGGCCGGCGGGGGCGGGGCGGGGCCGGGGGCGCGCGCGGGGGGCGGGGCCGGCGGGAGGCGCGGCCTCGGGGGCGCCGTCTGCCGGAAGCGCTGGCCGGCCCCGCGCTGCGCCCGGGCTGCGCGAACCGGGAGGCCGCGGGCTTGGGGTCCGTGCGGGGGCCGGGCCCCGGGGTTGCCTCTGCGTGCGATATCCTCGGGACCCCGGACGGGGGGGGACCAGCGGCCCGGAGCTGCGCCAGGCGACACTGTCCCCGGCGTGCCGGGTCGACTGTATGGGGAGGCATGGCTCCTGCCGTTCCAGATCTGGCGATTAGCACTGCCCACCTGGAGGGTCTTTTCTGACATCCTCTCCTCCACTGTGGCTGCGTTTGGGTTGAACCTGAATTCACAGAAAGACAGCAGATCGTCAGCCTCTGTCACATACCTCCGAGGGGACAAAACGGCCCTGTCAGTGGCGAGTTTTACCAACCAGGGCGCCCCACTTTGCATCTCTGGCTCCGGTTTGCACACAGACTTTGTTTTTGACCCAATACTTAGCCTGATAGCTGCAAGTTCAGCAGGCTCTTTCACCTGCGGGTCGTTTAGCAAAACTAATGTTCCCTTTCTGTAAAAGGGGACAGCAGTTCCATCCATTCAGCTGTTGGAGGTGGACCTCACGGTGCAGTTCTGCCCAGATTTCCACTGACAAAACTAACACTGTTTTCATTAGCATTTAAAAGTGTTTGCTTTTAATCGGTTTGTTTCCCTTTCCTCTTCCCTCCGGAAAGTTGGCTCACTTTTACCATTAAAGTAAGATTTTCTACGTGTGCGAAACCATAACACCCGCGTGGGAATTAAAATCTTATCTCAGGTTTGAATACTTTGTTGTATGCTTTTTTTTTTTTTTAAAGATTTTATTTATTTTTTTGAGAGAGAGAGAATGAGAGAGAGCACATGAGAGGGGGGAGGGTCAGAGGGAGAAGCAGACTCCCCGCCGAGCAGGGAGCCCGATGCGGGACTCGATCCCGGGACTCCAGGATCATGACCTGAGCCGAAGGCAGTCGCTTAACCGACTGAGCCACCCAGGCGCCCTACTTTGTTGTATGCTTAAGTATGGAATTATATCGTGCTACTAGCAAATCAAAAATACCCTTCCTTGTTAGTATACTATAACACACAGAAAATGAGTAACTGTTCTCTCAGTTCTGAGAGAGTGCTTAGCTAGGACCACTTAGATGCAAGACAGCGAGACACTCATTCCACTTGAGGGCTCAATGAACTAAATAGGGCTTAATTCTCTCAAGGAACCAAGATTGAGAGAAATAACAAAGAAAAATTGAGGGGTACATTTTTCTATTGCAGTGGTTTACAATCTGGATTCATTTACTTAAAAAAATAAACTTTAAGATGTCAATTAGAGGGGTGCCTGGGTAGCTCAGTCCGTTAAGGGTCTGCCTTCTGCTCAGGTCATGATCCTGGGGTCCTGGCATCTAGCCCCCCCATCAGGCTCCTTGCTCAGTGGGGAGCCTGCGTCTCCCTCTCCCTCTGCTGCTCCCCCTGCTTGTGCTTTCTCTCTGTCAAATAAATAAAGAAAATCTTAAAAAAAAAAGATTTCAATTAGAGTAAACATTTTGGACATTCAAAAATGTTGAGATGTAAATATTTTTAATTTTCTTGGAAGACAGTTTTACTTTTTTGAACATCTCCATGACTTTACTGATCTGTTAACTACCATAACTATAACCAGGGCTTTTCAGCTTTTTTCCTACTGCTCCAGCCTACTGTGGGGGCACCCCTGCCAAGCCAGCTTTGGGTTTTCAGGGATTCTGGAAACTGATGCTATGCTCCTGCTCTTTGAAGTTAACTTTGCCTCACCCTAGAGCTTTGCTCAGATGTCATTGTCTCAAGGAGATGTTCCTCATTCTTCACACTAGATGGGATGGGCCTGCGCTGTGCCCTCATACACTTTAAATCACCCTTCCTATTTCTAGTTTTTATCTTTTTCTCCCTAGGAATTGGGTCTTTTTAGCTTAGCTTAGCAGCTTGCCTTGTGATAGTCACTCAGTATTTCAGTGAATGTAGGAGTGGTTCGTGGTTGTTGGGTTTCAGCTCTGATGGGTAAGGCCTGTGACTGGAAAACCGGACTATTTGTGATTAGCTACTGTTGATGTAAGCTATGAAATATGGTGGGGCTACAGATTTGGTTTGCTAGCTACCTTGTCCGTCTACCTGGACTAAAGTAACTTTACAGAAATGAATCTTATGTCTTTGTTGTCTCCTTTCTTCATATATTTAGAACCAGATGCATAGAATGTGTATGTTTATATAACTGAAGTTCCCACAGAAATTGATAACTATAACCAAAGAGTTTATACACACTGGAAATTTTAAGCTTTTTGTTTAATATATACATGTTCTGTGTTTGAGTAAGATGGACAACTTTTTTGTTGTTAACGGCTATATTTTAAAAAAAAATTTTTTTTTTTTAAGATTTTATTTATTTGAGAGAGAGAGAATGAGAGACAGAGAGCATGAGAGGGAGGAGGGTTAAAGGGAGAAGGAGACACCCCGCTGAGCAGGGAGCCTGATGCGGGACTCGATCCCGGGACTCCAGGATCATGACCTGAGCCGAAGGCAGTCGCTTAACCAGCTGAGCCACCCAGGCGCCCTGTTAACTGCTATATTGATAATTATGTTAACCCATGGAGAGGGATTTTCTCTCCCCCAAATTTTCATTCATTAATTAGTTCAGTAGATATTTATTAATAGTCTACTATGTGCCAGGTTACTAGGCCCGGTGGAAACACCTTTTGATCCTCCGAGATCAAAAGGGCAGATTTGAATTGGTAAACAGGGTGTGGAGCCCGACCTTTTTTTTTTTTGGTGGTGATAAGAGGGCTCACCTCCTGCAGCCTTAGAGGTCAGCTTTTCTGCTCTGGATATGCATTGTTTTTAGTGGTTTAAAGCCTTTAAAATTCACTTACTGTCCTCTTAGAGAGGTTTCAGGAGGGAGAGCACAGATAAACGGACAAATCCAATCTGATAACCAATGCTGATGCTATCTATATCTATAATGGCTAGAGGAAATGGAAGAAGAGTTCTTCAGGCTTCTATTAGTAATGGGTTTCTTTTGACCGGCATGCACTCCTGAGCCTCCTCACCTTTAAATGTGCTTCTGAGTTGTGAGTTGGGAAGCTCCTCATGTTGTAAGCAGTAAAGAATGGTGGGGGTAAGTCCAGCTTCAGAACTAATGGTAGATCACACATATCTAGAGATGTTAAAATTGTCATGGATCATAGAAGGGATCCTGCAGGTGTTTAAACAGTCACAGTTTGACCAGAAGCTGAGGGTTAATATGGTATGTAGGAGGAGAGCATCCGATTAACTTATTTAGATCCCACCTGGAATTACAGAGGAGGGGAGGTCCCAGATGTTGATATATGTGACAGTTGTGATTTGAAGTGATATTGAATCCCCTTTTTGTGTGTTTCTTTCCCTCTGTCCAGTCCATTGATGACTTGAACAAATGGGCCCTGTTTCTTGTCTCTCCTTTTATACTTGAAGCAGAACACATAGCATTTGTGACAGAGAGCATTTGGGTGCAAGGTGAGAGTTTACAGAGACCGGCTTCCTCTTCAGAAACCGTGAGTAACATGTTCTTCACTTGTGTCCCAAAAGGAAATGATGTCTTTTTTTTTTTTTTTTTGATTTTATTTATTTATTTGAGAGAGAGAGAATGAGAGAGAGCACATGAGAGGGGGGAGGGCCAGAGGGAGAAGCAGACTCCCTGCCAAGCAGGGAGGCGGATGCGGGACTCGATCCAGGGACTCCAGGATCATGACCTGAGCCGAAGGCAGTCGCTTAACCAACTGAGCCACCCAGGCGCCCAAAAGGAAATGATGTCTTAACCAGAAGTAAATTTGTTTTTTCCCCTGTTCTTTCCTGGCCTTTGTGACCCCCTCTTTTGTGGACATTTTGGGTTAAAGAAAAATGTATTATTAAAATCATTTTCACCTGTTTCTTTCTATTTTTTTTAATGTGGCTGCTAGAAAAACTGCCTGGGTGGCTTGTGTTTGTGGCTCCCATCATGTTTTCACTGGGCAGCGTGCTGGAGGGGCATCTAGCCCATCCCTCCACTTCTTCAATTTGGCCCGAGTGGTTAACTTATATCGCCATGCACTTCCTAGACATCTCCCCTGGAGTATTCTGAAAACACTTCAAACTTAATAACCTGTCTAAAAGTAGTTGCTTCTATTTCTCTGATGGAAAAAAAAAGAGAGTCTCAGAGGAACACCCCAACCTGTTCTTCCTCTCACCTTCTGCGTCCTTCCTGCCATGCAGGTCCAAATTCTACTGATGCCCCTTCCCTGGCCGTCTCCACTCGCCTCCTTCATTTCCACTCCTTGTTTCGTGCTCAGCTTCAGATCTTTTGGTCTAAACCATGGAAATGTTGTCCTGTCTTGTGCCCGTGGGTTTTTCTCTTGATGGCCAGAGTTCTCTTTCTAGACACAAATCCAGGGAAACACACTCTTGCTCAAGCTTCAGGGGGCGCCTTCTCACCAGACATGGTCATGCCCTTAGGCCCCGTGGAAGTCTGACCTAAGCCCCTCTCGTGGGTGTCTTCCGCTCGGGTATCTGTGATGAGTCCTTGCCTTGCTGCTTTCACTCAGCCACCATGTGATCCCTGCCTGTCACTTGATAATCCAGCAGGGGTTTTGCTGATGATAGCCATTGTCACTGGATTTCCATTTTACAAACACCATCTTTAAGCCATTGTATTGGGATGAGAGAAAAGGAAGAGAGGAGGAAGACTAGACAAAAATTGACTAGAATTCAAGGTAGACTGAAATAAGGGCCACAAGATGGGTAAAGATATTTAAAGGAGAGCAAGAAACTGTGTTTGGGGGGCGCCTGGGTGGCTCAGTCGTTGGGCGTCTGCCTTCGGCTCAGGTCATGGTCCCAGGGTCGTGGGATCGAGCCCCACGTCAGGCTCCCTGCTAAGCGGGAAGCCTGCTTCTCCCTCTCCCACTCCCCCTGCTTGTGTTCCCTTTCTCACTGTGTCTCTCTCTGTCAAATAAGTAAATAAAATCTTAAAAAAAAAAAAGAAACTGTGTTTGGGACTCCGAAGGGGCTTACGGTTTGGCAGGTGGCCCGAGAGCCACCCTTGTGCTGTGACACTCCATTTCCTCCTGTAGCCTCCTGATGTTTTATCGAGCCTTATATAGACTTAGGATTAATTCTTTCTTTTCTTTCTTTCTTTCTTCCTTTCTTTCTTTCTTTCTTTCTTTCTTTCTTTCTTTCTTTCTTTCTTTCTTTCTTTTTCTTTTTCTTTCTCTTTCTTTCATTCCTTCCGTTCCTTCCTTCCTTCCTTTCTCTTTCTTTCTTTCTTTTCTTTCTTTCGGATAAGGAGAAGCAGGTTCCCCACTGAGCAGGGAGCCCAGATGTGGGACTTGATCCTAGGATTCTGGGATCATGACCTGAGCCGAAGGCAGTTGCTTAACCAACTGAGCCACCCAGGTGCCCCTTAAAGGGCATTTCTTTCTTTCTTTTTTTTTTTTTTTTAAAGATTTTATTTGTTTGACAGAGAGAGACACAGAGAGAGAGAGAGAACACAAGCAGGAGGAGAGGGAGAAGCAGGCTTCCCGCGGAGCAGGGAGCCGGATGCGGGGCTCAATCCCAGGACCCCGGGACCACGACCCGAGCCGAAGGCAGACGCCTAATGACTGAGCCACCCAGGCGCCCCTTAAAGGGCATTTCTAAAGCCACCAGCTGCTAAGTGGCAGATAGTTTTAACCAGTGTCCATACCCTTTTTAGTAGCCAGAGGAATGCATTAGTAGTTTTAAAGAGATCTAGACTTTGCCGTTTCCTAGTCGTTAACAGCAAAGCTTATATTAACCTGAGGCCAATCCAGCAATGCTCGTAGCTCTTCTCCTGTGTTCGGTAGAAAGACGCCAACTGGTGATGTGAAGTTTTTTGGTGAACTCAAGCGTAATTTTCATATGCAGAAGATAAGACTATTCAGAAACTTCCTTTTTATTTAAAACAATGATTTTCAGTGTATTAAAATTACAAATTAAATGATCAATTAGGTTGAAATGTGAAATGGCCAATACTTGGCTTTTTTTTTTTTTTTTTTTTAACCTATGAAGAGTCCATTCATGGTAACCTAATTGTTCTGATTTGGGCTTTTAAGTCCTAATTTACCATTCTTAGAAATTTAACAAAAGTTTGTGATCACGTTTGGTGGAATTTCTGAATAATATTTGTCCTGTTTAGAAGCTCAAATATCTTAAAACATTGTATTTTATTTTGGGACTCTAGCTGCACAGACTTGGATTAATCCTAATCCTTGATCAAAATGTACTCTCATCATTGGTTCATGCATGGCCCTCACTCACTGACAAATTTGAAATTATATAATAAATACCCACGAATTCACCACTGAGTATGGAAATGGAACATGTATACCTATGTGATCCCCCAGAGTCTATCCACCTATTCTGCCTCCCCTGCCCCTATCTTCTCCCTCCCCAAACCAATTTCTTTTTAAATACATAAGTCATCTGGGTGAACAAACATCATCTTTCTGAACACTTACATAATTCTTATCAATTATTAAACGTAGAGTAAGCTTGATGCTTTCTTAGATATGCTAATATTACTTGTTTATTTAGTAAGATTTCACCTTAAAACCAAGGCCAAAATTTCTAAAATATTGCCATTACCTAAAATAGGTGCAGGTTCCTCCTTAACACAAAATGTGACTGCTGTGTTCTTGATTTCCTAAATTGTTGTTCCTTAATTGTACATCTTTATGGGGTTCAAAGACATAGAGCATCTGAAGGAACATAGTTACTGTGTTATGGAGGGTACAGGCTAAGCTACTGTAACAGAGACCCAGAACTGCCGCAGAGCAAAAAGCTAGAAGTTTCTTTCTCCCTCAGCGAGACGGTTCTGCTCTATAAGGCCATCCAGGGACCTAGTTCCCTTCTGTCATGTTGCTCTGTCATCTCCCCTCTGCCAGCCTCATTCACTCTCTAGGTAGAGGCTGGTTCGTACTACCCCCGCCACTGTTGTTGGCCTTATGCACATTCTAGCCCCCCAGGTTGGGGGAAGAGAGGGGGTGGGGGCCAGCCATTTTCCTCTTTAAAAACTCTGATCCAGAAGTTTCACAGGCCACTAATGTACCTGTTCTGTTAGCTGGCAGGGCAGGCTGAGAACTTCAGTCCTAGCTGGACAGTCATGGGTTGAAGGGAAGAATGAAAGACTAGATACTGGGAGATAATTAGCATTTCTCACAGTTACCATTTCATTTAACATATGTTCTAATGAAGATTTAATTAAGATCTTGCTTAATGGCAACAACTTATTTCTTAATTTTCTGAGGTAGAAAGGAAGACAGCTACTGTCCAGATAATTCATTTTATTTATGATCAGAGGGTTTGGTGGCTCTTGCAACCAGGAGCCGGAGACATTCAGAGCTATTTTTTTGACCACTCTGGCTATTACATCGTACTTCATTTTATAAGTTGGGCCTTAAAACTTATAAAGGAATTGATCTCAGGCACCTGCCTGGGCTCAGTTGGTAGAGCATGCAACTCTTGATCTCAGGGTTGTGAGTTCAAGCCCTGCATTGGACATGGAGCCTACTTTAAAAAAGAAATTGATCTCATAGCTCACTAACTCTGCAGTTCTCATTTGCGTTGATTGCTTAATGGGATTTTGCATTTTGGGGGGCTTCTATGAATCTATGTATTTTGCACTTAACTCTAAAGTCATTTGAGTTGGGGTTCGTGGGTGGCTCAGTCATTAAGCAGCTGCCTTCGGCTTAGGTCGTGATCCCGGGGTCCTGGGATCGAGCCCCACATCCGGCTCCGTGCTGCTCCGCGGGAAGCCTGCTTCTCCCTCTCCCACTCCCCCTGCTTGTGTTCCTTCTCTTGCTGTGTCTGTCAAATAAATAAAATCTTTTTTAAAAAAAAAAAGGTCATTTGAGTTTAACAGGACCCTAAGATATTAAATTGAAAATATATATGTAAGAAAGACTTTTGAACTTGATGAGATGTCACATTCTTTCATATTTCTAGGATTATGGAACTCTTACAGATATTTAAAATATCTTCTTGAATTTTGGATATCTCAAATGGCTTTCTTTTTAAAAAAAAAATATATTTTATTGACTTATTTGAGAGAGAGAGAAAGCACAAGAGGGGGGAGGGGCAGCGGGTGAAGGAGAAGCAGACACCCTGCTGAGCAGGGAGCCCGACATGGGGCTCAGTCTCAGGACCCTGAGATCATGACCTGAGCCAAAACCAAGAGTTGAACGCTTAACTGACTGAGCCACCCAGGTGCCCGTCAAATGGCTTTCATTTGTGGTCATTCTACAGACCCCAACAACAAATAAATGAATCTTAGGAATTCAGCTGTTAAAAAAAATGTAGCATTCATATATTCGTATTTTCACTAAGTCATTCATTAACATATTTATTGAACATCTACTCTGTTCCAATTATTTTGCTAAGGTTCCATAACAAATACCAGTGGAGCATGGTAGATTCAGCTCAATTTTCAGTATCTTCTGTAATGACATTAGCAGTCTTGTTTAGTAAGAATCAATGACCCAAAAGTCATACATAATTCTTTTGT